CGGGTGGGGCGGGGCCCTGGCACTGCCTCAGCCTCCCCCGGCCGCCTTCCCCGGGACCTCGCCCCTCCTCCCACCTCGCCCCTCCTCCCGCCTCTGGTCTTCCTACGCATCTGCAGCTCCCTGTGGCCCCGGGGAGCCCCGCAGACCCTGGGCTGGGATGCGGGGCGGGCCAAGGGTTGGGCAGGAGGCTGGGACTCTAGTTTCTGACCACGGCCCCGTGCTGGCCTGCCCTGGCAGGAGTGGGCTAAGACACCCCCTGGACTGGAACAGCCCTGGGCCTTCCCTGACCTCAGACTGTGCCAGGCCCTGGGCTCCGTGCTTTGCATGCTGTGCCCACTTTAGAGATGAGGACACTGAGGCCTAGGAGCCTTACCCAGCAAGTAACTCATGTCTTTGGGGCTCCAGAGTCTGGGCTCCTGGGCTGGCCGAGCACCATGCTGGGAGCCAGAGGTCACGCTTCTTTGTCTTGAACCCCTCCCCTGCCAGTGCCAAACCCACGCCCCTTTAGGGCGACAGGGCCCATAGAGGTAGCAGGGCTGGCTTTCCCAGGGAGAATCTTGGCTTCGTGTCCCTCTGATTGCGTGAACGTGGGCCTGTGCCTCAGTTTCCCCACCTGTAAACTGTGGATATTAATCACATCCAGCTCTGGGCTGTCGTGGGCACTGAGAGTGAACACAGGAGAGCGCACAGAGCGACACCTGGCCCACGTACAGAGCGACACCTGGCCCACAGACACGCTAAGCCTTATCGGGCAGAAGTGTGTACGGAGGCCCAGAACCTGCGATGACTTGCGACTACTACTTCCTGTCCCCGCTATCGCCAGGAGAGCTGGGGCCATCTGGACACCAGCGGGACTCGCTCAGCCCCCTTCGGCCTGGCTGGTGCTTTGGCGGGGAGGCCCGTGCGGCGGACGCAGGCTCCCGGGCTGGCGCCGGCTCAGGCGTTTATGGTGCGCTCGGCAGTTTCCAGGCCGAGATAAAAGCGCAGCCCGCGGAGCTGGCAGAGCTCCGGGCAGCAGGGACGGGCCTGTCTGCATTAGCGCGAGGCGGCCTGGGCCCGCGGGGTTTGGCGTCCGGGAGTCAGCCCAGCTCTGGTCCCTTGAAAGACTGATGGTTCTATGGCTAATGGCTCCAGCCTGGCTCTCGGGCTCAGGGCCACTTACACCAACTCCAAAACAGAGATAGAAGCTGCCTCTGCCACCTCGCAGACCCTCCCGTCCCCAGGCCTCTGTCCTGCTCCTCTCAGCAGCCCTGGCCTGAAGCCTCAGGGCGCAGGGGTAAATAGGACTTTTGAGACGAGCTTTGGAGACCTGCCTCCCGCTGCCAAAGGTCATGGCGTCTCTAGACCTCAGTTTCCCCGCCTGTGAGTGAAGATCACAGCACCAGCCCCTTGCAAGGTTGTTGCTGAAGTTTAGGGCAACAAATGGCAGCAGAGTGTGTACCTGGCACAACGTGTGGCTCCTAGAGTGATTCCTGCAACCTCAGCGGAAGGGTGGTGGGGTAGTTGAGTTAGGACTGGCTTCAAATCCTTGAACTGTGACCTTGAGCAAGAGGCTCGATTTCCCTGAGTCTCACTACTTGGGCTGTAAAAATCTCTAACATCTAAACGAGACCCTGTGGGGATTGCCTGAGACAGCCACACGTCGTAGGGACTTGTGACAAGGAGACCCCGTCCCCAGCTGTCCTGACCGTGGCTTCCCCATCTGCCAGCCCAGCTGCCCCCTGGGGAGACAGCACAAGGTGGGCGGTGAGCGGCGTGGGCTCTGGAGCTGCCTGATTCTTTCCTAGCTCCGACAGCTGTGTGAACCTGGGCAAGTGTAGCAACCTCTCTGTGCCTCATTTTCCTAATCTTTAAAATGAGGGTGTGATGGCACCTTGGGACACATCAGCGAGCCATTAGATTTTAGCCGCTGAGTGCAGTGTCTGGCAAACCGTAAGTGCTGTTGTCTATTGTCACTGCCACTACTCTGGGCCGCCACCAAGCCCTTCTCTTAGGTTGCTGCAGAGACTGTCCCATAGCATTGACCCATCTCCCTCGATGTCACTGGGAAAGACACCGATCCCCAGAGACACCAGTCCCTTGGACACTCCCTTCCAAAGGGGTCTTGATCTGCTGGCCTGAGGTGTTGTCCGGCCTGGCGCTCGCTCCTGCCCCCCAAGACCTGAGGCCGCCCAGGTTTGGGAGTTAGTTATAAGCGACCCTGAGCCTGGAGAGCCACAGAACTGCTGACCTTCCAGGTGACAGAGGCCACTGTCCTAGGCCAGGAGAGGAGGCTCTGGTCTCTTCTCTGCTGAGCGAGGCTCCCCCGGCCCCTGGGGGCTGGGCTGAGCAGCTGACCCCTTCTGGGTCCCTGGCCCAGGCTGGCACCCTGGCTCTTTAACCCTATGCCCGAGGGACAACTGCCCAGACCCACCTGCCTTTATGGTGACAAATGCTAGGGGTGAACCCCAGGGGCTGGCTGGGGCAGCTGAGTCACGCTCGGCCCTGGTGCCCTCTGCCCACGGCTCCTCTGCCGTGTCACCGTCTGGGCATGCGCCAAACTCCTCACTGCCCACAAAGACCCTCATTCAGTCCCGGGTGCTGCTGGCCCTTTAAGATTTGGATCCTTACCTGCATTTCACAGATGATGAAGCAGGTCCAAGGTCCCTGGGCAGTCGTGGGACCTGAACCTTGTCTCCTGCCTGTGAGCCTGGACTTTCCCCCTGTAGCACTGCAGATGGTTGTTCCCATTGGAGGTAGTGAGTTCCCCGTCCCTGTAGGTGTTCAAGCGTGGCAGGGAAGATGTAGAGGGAACTTGGACATCACGTGAGGCTCCTCTTTACGGCTCTTTCCAGCCCTTAGCTTTTCTGGCCCTGGGGGAGACGGCCACCAAATTCCCACGTTCTCCCAGTCGTTAAGTCCCTAAGCAGCACGTGGGTCATTCTAGCATCATCCGTGATGGGTGTGGGACATCCACCCCCTGCATCTTCAGGGCCCCTGGTCCCCTTACCCGACAGGCCGAAGCTGGCTAAGGTGTTCCCAGCCCCATGGCACTGCCCCTTCCCACACCTGCATGTGGCGTCACCTCCCTGGAGCCCTGGGCAGTGGGCAGGGTCGGGAGGAGCCGTTTCCTCAAAGCTGTCCTTATCCTACGCCGTGGCTGTGCCTGTCACGCCCTCTGTGGGCCCTGCCACCTGTGCACACAGCGGGGAACCAGAGGGGCGGGTCTGTTCTCCGGCTCTTTCCTGCCGGCCCTGGTGCCCGAGCGGGGGGAGGGGGAGCAGGGACCGAGCGCAGCACCCGTCGCCAGCCACTCTGGGGAGGACAGCCAGTGCCCTCCTTGGAGACCCTGCCGTGGACGTCAGCATGCGGGAGTCCTGGGTTTGGGGAGCCGGGGACGGAAGCTGCAGTGACAGCCACCCAGGGAGGACGGCGGTGTTTGCAGCCCATAGAGTGTAGGAGTGAGCGAGGTCTGGCCGGGCCCTGCTCCCGGGCTGTGAGGCCTTGGGCGGGTGGCTCAGCCTCTCTGAGCCTCGGTTTCCACCTCCACACAGTGGCTGGTGCTAGCCCTCCGTGTCGTGGAGGTGCCAGGGCAGGGGGTGGGGCCACGCAGGACAATGGAGCCGGCACAGGGAAAGGAGTGCACAGAGCTGCGTTTCCATCCAGTGTTACCGGCTCTGTGTCCCTGGACAAGTGGCTTCTCCTCTCTGAGCCTCAGTTTCCCCAGCTATAAAATGGGAATGACGGTTTCTCATAGGGTGGTCATGGAGTTACGGGAGGCCAAGTACATATCACGTGGTTTGTGCTCATATGTGGTTCCCTTCCCTGCCCTAGATCTCTTGAGAGTCTCACAGGCTAGTTCTTGGGGCACACCCCACCCCAGGTTCCTAGACCCCAGGACCTCCCTGGCCACAGACAGGTGCCATTTCCCCCTCCTTGCTTGGAAAGCCCATGGGGGGCCCAGGTGGAAGCTTGGCATTTGCAGCAGTGGGAAGGTGACCCACCTTCATTGGCAAACCTCCTGCCTGGGCCTCCCTTAGCCCTAAGCCACAGGAGTGGGCCTTCTTGGGCCTTGGAGGTGTAACTTTGCCTTCACGTAGAGAGAAAACCCAAGGTTTGCTGCTCATAGGTTCAGATGGGATCTCAGACATCGTCTAATCCAGCACACATTAAAACTGTCTATGGCCCCAGTGGTTTAGGAAAGGCAGCCTTCTGAACTGCAGGACTTCTCAGAGCCTTTACCAGGCAGATGTGTGTTGGAGGGGGAGTCAGCCTGGTGTTTCGGATCCTATCCCTGCTCTCAGGCTGTGCCCCGTCTCGGAAGCCCCACTGTGGCCAAGCAGCTGGCAGAGGGGCATGTGCCCCTGATCCAGTTAGAGGCTGGGAAGTGGGGGATGGCTTGGTGCTTGAACTGTCCCCTCTCCCCACCCTCCATCTACCCCGAGTGGCACTTTGGGGTTGCATCTCTAGTGTCAGGAACTGGGTCCTATCGGGGAGAGGCCTGGAGCCTGCCTGGCCTGGCTAGAGCCCCAGCTGGGTCTCACTCATTCGTTTATTCAACGGGCAGGCATGGGGCCCGTCCTGTGGACCGGGCACCGCGCTGGCACAAGAGATCCGGCAGTGAGCATGGCCCACGCTGGGAATGCGTAAGGAGCGAGCAGGTGGCAGGTCATTTTGGTGCGAGGTGCCACAGAGACAACAAAACAAACACGGAAGGGAGTAACGGATGCAGAAGGCAATTTCGACCGGGTAGTCACGGGGGGCTTCTCAGGGGAGGGGACATTTGAGCTAAGCCCCGGGCAGGAGCCAGTCGGGAGAAGGGTCCTGGAGAGACTGTCCCGTGTGGAGGGAAGAGCACGTGCAAAGGTCCTGAGGTGAGTCTGAGGACATAGGAGGGGTCTGTCTGGAGTTGCCGGATGCAGGGAAGGGACGCGGTGCGAGGGGACTTGGGGGGGGGGTGGAGCGGGGTCGTTAGCTCGGCAGTCACGCTGCTCCCGGAGCCTCAGCTTTCTGACTTATGAGCCTCGTCGCTTTTGTCCCCCACCCTCGCCCTGGCCGGGGTGTTGTAGGTGTGAAGCCGGCAAGTGGTTTGTCAGCCGCTTTGGCTTTTGGCTCCCGCAGCCTTGAGCTTTAGAGCACGTTTGTCGCTGGGAGTGGCTGGGACGGGAAGGCCGTGTCTCTTTCCCTGGGCGCTGCCGTAGCAGGTGCGTGACAGCCCGGGTGCCCCATCTCTGCCCGCCCCCGGGGTGCCCTGAGCGCAGCCCCCTGCCAGCCCCTTTCAGACGCAGGAGCCTTTGATCAACAGAGGCCCCTCTCCGGCCCACGGCCACCTCGCTTTCCGGGGAAGGTTCCACCAGAGAACAGCGGCTCCTTTCTTTGCTTTCTTTTCCTCTTCCTCCGGGGCCGAAAATAGCGCCTGAATGGGACCGGCTCTGGGCCGGCAGCGAGACAATAGCTGCCTCCTGGCTCTGGTCCATCGCAGGGGTGGGGCGTTGCAGAGGGACCACACTCCCCCCACCCGCACCGCCAGGCCCCTGCAGCCTTTCCCATGGCCTCTGCCAGAAACCGTCCCCAAGCCCCTGCAAGGCCTTGGGGCGTGATGGCCCGTGGGCTTCCCCTGTTGCGTGTGGGCAAGTGCTCACAGCTGGTTGACTGAGACCCGGGCCCCTGCACCCCTGAGGAGTCCGGCCCTGTCTGCTGGCCCCGCTGTTAGTCTGTAGCCAAAACCCTCTCCGGGGACCCTGGCCCCCGGCTCTCTCTGGTGCCCCGTCTGGCACATGGAGGACACCTCATGGTTTTGATGTCCTCTTCTCTTTGACTCAGTGGGTATGAAGGACTTTTTAGAAATCAAAGGAATGTGTCCTCTTGGGAGGAAGTGAGCTCCCTGTCACTGGAGGTAATCAAATAAAGTTTGTGCACTGGGAAACTGGGGGACGTGGAGGATTAGTCAAGCATCAGATGGACATTTGATCTTGATGCCTTCACATCTCAGAGGAGATCTCTGTTTGAATTTCATACTCCTCCCTTCCCAGCTGGGTGGCCTTGAGCAAGTCGAGTCACCTCCCTGGGCCTCTGTTTGCCTGTCTGCAAGCTGGGTCCACAGGGCTAACTTTGCAGAGCGGTGGGGACGGATGTCTAAGGTGCCCAGTGTGGTGCCTGGCTCCTGGGAAGGGTTTCAAAGGTTGGTCTCTGTGTCCCTCCCTCCCCGGACTGGCAGGGAGAGTCTGAGCCACTTCTGGCCCCCGGGGAGCTCTGGAGGAAACTGCCGGGAGGAGCCTGCAGCCCCAGGGCTAACTCAGGAGGGGGATTCTTGATGGACTGTGGCAATCTGGGAAGGCTTTCTGGAGGAGGAATTTTTAGGGAAGTATGATGCACACGTTGTGCTCTCGACAGCCAGTGGTGGGAGTTAAGGAGTGTCCAGCCCGGCAGCGTGAGGCCAAGGCCACAGTCTGACAGCCGCCAGAGGCCAAATCCAGCTACCAGCAGGCAGAACCTGGCCACGGGGGCGGCTCCTACTGGGTTCGGAAGAGATGTGGTTTTAAAGTCAATGAAATTTGCATGAAATCGCATGAATTTGCATGAATTTGCGAATTTCATGTAAAAATCTATGGCTCTGCTTCTCTTGAGAAACTGGAAGCTCTGGCTCTGTGAGGTCCCTTCCAGACAGGCAGGTGTCCCCATTGCGCCCCACAACCTGCTGTCCTGAACCCTGCCCTTCCTCCCGCCAGCTCCCCGCCTGGACGGGCGGCGTCCGAGTGGAAGGACTTGGGTGCAGCACAAGTTAGGGAGTCGCGCCGCGATGCTGGGTCGGAGCCCAGCAGTGACTTAGTCCCTGCAGCTGCCAACGGTTGCCAGGGCAACGGTTGCCAGGGGCTGCTGTCACCTGCGCCCCTTCTCCCGCGCTGGCTGGCGCTGGCTGGAGGCTGAGGCTTCTCAGCTTATCTTCCCCGGCTGCCCCCTTTGTTTGAGGCTCCGTTGAGGGGGTGGCGGCTGGGGTGGCCCAGCTTCAAAGTCCCCTCCGTCTCCTCGGACTCGGACTCGGGGAAGACCGCCCCGACGCCCCAGGGCTGCTGCCTGCGAGCAAGGAGAGCCCTTTGCTCAGCCACTCGCGCTCTTTACGTGTCTGTCGTGCACTTTGTGCCACCAAGGAGGCGTCCAGGTATGATTCTGCCCCCTTCCTCGTCCCTCTCCCCCTGGCCCTCTCCCGTCTCCCCTCCTCTCCCCTCCCTGTGTGCTCCTCCCCCTCCCCACCCCCGGCCCCTCTATCTTTGGCCTCTCCCTCCACCCCTCTGCCCTGCCTGGTGGTGCCCTAGCAGGTGGGGTGGGCACGGGCTGGGGTGGCCCTGAGGACCCTGGGGAGTCACAGGCAGTATTCTAAGGGGACATGGGCAATTCGATAACAGCCTCAATCTCAAGGAAGTGGTTGGGGGTGAGAGCTCCACACCCTCCTCCCGGTCGAGCCCTGGCTGAAGAAGATTCTCTCTGGTCCCCGGCTGCACCCCGGCCTCAGAGACAAGCCCGTGCCACGTGCTGGGAGGGGTGTCCAGTGCGCGAGGAAGACCGGAGGTGCAGGGGTGGGAAGAGTGTTGAGCGGGGCTGGGGTCCAAGGCCACCTGGGCCCTTGGGAAACCCTTGGAAACCCATTCTCAGAAGCATTTTTTTACTGTGACTTCTAAAGAGAAGGCCTTTGTAACGGTCGGGTCAGTTCAAGCGGGAAATGGTTCCAGATGAAGAGCTTGGGTTCCAGGGCTGGCCCTGGTCACGCCCAGCCTGCACCGCTCCCTGTGGCCTGGGCAGGGGACTTGGCCTCCCCGGCCTCACTGTCCTTACTTGCCAAATGGGAGTGAGGTTTCTAGAAAGATCAAATGTTTCACTGTGTGTGAAGAGCTTAGAAGCCCGTCTCGCTAGCTCAGAGAGCTTCATTAAGGTTCATTCTGCTCAGTGTCGCTACTTCCCTTCCCCGGAGGGCGCCCGGGCCCCCAGCTCTACTGGGGCAGGGTCCCATGCGCCCCTCCGCCAGCCATCTGGGGCCTGGAGGAGGAAGGGAGGCCGGCGTCTGTCCTTGGGGACGCTCGGGGTGCTACCCTCCAAACGCGGGCGTTCTGCCAGGCCCGGGCATCTGAACTGCAGCCCCAGAAAACAAGCAGGGAGGTGACTGGGCTGGCCGTGTGGGCCCGGCCTTGGGCAATTCGTGAACGCAGACAGGGAAGGGGAACTTCAGCCAGACAGCTGAGGCCGGCTGTGGTTTGAGAGGGAAGAGGCCGGGCCGCGGCGGAGGACGGGGCTGGCGTCCTCCTTGCCCCACGTAGGGACATGCCCTGCCCTTACCTGCGGGCTTCCCGAAGCTGGCTCGGTTTTGACGGCCCTGGCTCCAGAGAAGGTAGGTGAGGGACAGGGACCATAGTTGTTCACTTGACAGAGGAGGAAACTGAGGCCCAGAGAGGGGATGGACTGGCCCAAAGTTTCCAGGCCAGCTGGCTGCAGAGGGAGTCCCAACTTTGTCCCCGCAACTCCTGCCACCCTGCTGTGGGAATGTGCCTGCCCCGGGCAGGTGCTGGCTGGTGCGCCCGGGAGGAGGCCCAGCCGCTCCTGGACGGGACAGGCTGCAGATGTGGCCACGAGCCTCTGCCTGGCGCAGGCCGCCCGGGAGCGTGAGCCGAACAGGCCTGGCGCCCGAGTCCCCGGACCGCTCATGCAGATCCCGGTGCCCAAGCCCTGCCCCAGACTGGGTTCCCGGGGCTGGCTGCCCTCCTAGTCCCTTCTCCTCCCTCAGCTTCGAAGGCTCCTCAATCAACTCCAAAACTCGGAGAGCCTTTGATTCTCAGCTCCTCAAAGCTCGTGCATCCTCAAATTCTCTCTCTCTCTCGTCCGACATTCGGAGTGTCTTAGCTGCGTGGGGCCAGGCCTACGGCCCAGCTGGCGGTGGCTGCTGTTAATGGAATGGCCCGCCTGGGGACAGGCCTGGCAGTGCCCCTTTCCCCACTCGCTGGTGCTGCGGGCCGAGGGAATTCGGGACAGGCCTGAGCGTATCCCAGGCTCACTGGGGACCTCTTGCCTGGAAGTGTCAGGGATGGTGATAAGTTGCCCCGGGGAGCACTGGAGTCTCAGTGGCTCCTGCAGCCCATCTCATGCTAGCTAATGGCCTTTGGGATAGCTCAGAGGGGCGGAGGGGGCTGGAGGTGCTACCCGGCTTCTGTCTGTGTAGTGTCAAGATTTCCAAGAGGCTGTTTTTCATGTGGATAACAGGTGTCCATGCAAAAAAGGCTCCCCCTTCACATTGGGCTGGGAAACTGTGCCCAACCAAGTTTTGTGGGTTTCCTCCTGCAGGACTTATCAGAACCTTTGATATGCTAATGTATAGGAGAAAGTAGGACCTACAAGCATTTTTCTAATCTGGGGACTAGTGCTCCTTGGAAGTGCTTTGGCAAGCTACCTCATGGTAATGATGAGGAGACTGAGTCCCAGACAAGGGAAGCGACTCCAAAGACCACACGGCCTGTGAGGTGAGGTGGACCTCGGCTGGGCCGGAGCCCACGCTTGGCTGCTCACCGGCTGCGTGATCTTGGGCATCACCTTGTGGGCTTCAGTGTCCCTACTTTACAGTGGGGACACTGGTAGCAATTGCCTCGCAGGGCGGCTGTGGGGACTGGGCAGTTAATTTGCGGGAAGAGCGTTGCACGGTGCCAGGCGCTGACGGACGCTGTGGCCCCCTCCCACCCCAGCCTCCAGCAGGCAGGAGGCTGGAGATGGGAACACCGAAGGCCAGCTCGTCCCTGGGGTGAGGCTGTGTGGCAGGGGACGGGGTGAGGCTGTGTGGCAGGGACAGAGGCTGAGGCTGTGCAGCAGGGGTAGGGGTGAGGCTGTGCGGCAGGGGCAGGGGTGAGGCTGTGCGGCAGGGGCAGGGCTGAGGCTTGTGGCGGGGGCAGGGGTGAGGCTGTGCAGCAGGGGTAGGGGTGAGGCTGTGCAGCAGGGGTAGGGGTGAGGCTGTGCGGCAGTGGAGGGGCTGAGGCTGTGTAGCAGGGGCAGGGGTGAGGCTGTGTAGCAGGGGCAGGGGTGAGGCTGTGTAGCAGGGGCAGGGGTGAGGCTGTGTGGCAGTGGAGGGGCTGAGGCTGTGTGGCAGGGGCAGGGGTGAGGCTGTGCGGCAGGGGAGGGGTGAGGCTGTGTGGCAGTGGAGGGGCTGAGGCTGTGTGGCAGGGGCAGGGGTGAGGCTGTGCGGCAGGGGAGGGGTGAGGCTGTGTGGCAGGGGCAGGGGTGAGGCTGTGTGGCAGTGGAGGGGCTGAGGCTGTGCGGCAGGGGTAGGGGTGAGGCTGTGCAGCAGGGGCAGGGGTGAGGCTGTGTAGCAGGGGCAGGGGTGAGGCTGTGTGGCAGGGGAGGGGCTGAGGCTGTGTAGCAGGGGCAGGGGTGAGGCTGTGTGGCAGGGGAGGGGCTGAGGCTGTGCGGCAGGGGAGGGGCTGAGGCTGTGCGGCAGGGGCAGGGGTGAGGCTGTGTAGCAGGGGCAGGGGTGAGGCTGTGTAGCAGGGGCAGGGGTGAGGCTGTGCGGCAGGGGCAGGGGTGAGGCTGTGTGGCAGTGGAGGGGCTGAGGCTGTGTAGCAGGGGCAGGGGTGAGGCTGTGCGGCGGGGGCAGGGGTGAGGCTGTGCGGCGGGGGCAGGGGTGAGGCTGTGCGGCGGGGGTCGGGGTGGCCGTCTGGCGGGTCTGGTGCGAGATCAGCGAGCCGGCCGGGCCTGGGTATTTGCCAGGCAGCTCGCTTAGTTTCCTTCTCCTTTATTGTAGAAAATTCCTGAAGCCTGAAGTCACTCTGCGTCCCGTCCCCAGGATCCCAGGGCACCCTTCTTGGAGGGAGCTCCCCGCCCCGGCCTGGGCCCTTCCCCGCTGTGGGTGGCGAGGGTGGCGTTGGCAAGTGTGCCGCCAGGCGCCATGGTGCGGCGGGGGCTGGGCTGGGAGCGGGGCCTGGTCTTAGTCCCGCCTGGTCTGACAGGGCGTCAGGACGCGGTGTTTCCAAGTACGAAAATGTCTGGGAACTGCGGGAAGGAGGGTCCCCTCAGCCTCCAGCCCACCCCCGGGGAGGAAGCGCCTGCGGGAGTCCGCGCGCTCTGGCCGGTCTCCGTGCCTGTCCCCGACGTCTGTCTGAGCGGCCTCCTCTTCCTCCTCTGCTAACTGCCCCGACAGCCGCCCGCTTCCCAGCTCTCCCCCTCGCCCCCTGCGCACACGCACACACGCACTTATGCACACGCATGGCCACAGGCATTTGTGCACATGCACGGGCACACACACGGGCACACGCACGGGCACAGGCACTTGTGCACATGCACGGGCACACACACGGGCACACGCACTTGTGCACATGCACGGGCACATGCACTTGTGCACACGCACGGGCATACACATGGGCACATGCACTTGTGCACACGCACGGGCACAGGCACTCATGTACACGCGTGTGCGTGCACACGCTCTCACCCCCCCTCCCTGGCCAAGTCCTTCCTTCCCGCGGCCCTCTGCCCGGGCCCGCGCTGCCCTGCCTGCCGGAGCACAGCCAGGACAGGAGCCCGAAGGGCTGACAGCGCCGGGTCCCCTCCCTCCCGCTGCCCCGGGGAGGGCCCTTCTGAGCGGGAGGCCCCTACTGGGCGAGACCAGCTTGGACTGGACACCGACTCGGGGTCCCTCCTTGGCTCTGTGCCACCGCCCCCGCCCAGGCGCCCGGCACCCTGCTAAATGCAGGGGGACCGGAGAGGGGCGTGACATGGCTTGTCACAGGGTGGGCAGGAGGCACCGCTGGGAGGCTGGCTCCCCCGCCCGAGTCCAGGCGCTGACACGTAGCAGCAGAGGGACGTGGGGCGGGTCCCCACCCCTCTCTGAGCGTCTCTCCTTACGTCCATCCCCGGCTTGTAAACCATGGTCCCCGAGCCCGCGTGTGTCACTAATGGGGCGCTTGTTAAAGCCAGGCCCCGACCCCACCCCGCCTGACACGCCAGCCCCTCGGGGCCTGAGAACCCGCATTGTAGCACATTCCGGGATGGGGGTCAGACGCAGGGGAGGTGCGGGCGCCTCGGCTGTCGTCATGGCAATGGGCGTGCTGAGTGCGGGCGAGAACACGGTTAACCCTGGTGGCAGCTGGGCGAGTAGGGACAGCTTCCTGGGGGAGGTGTGTGTCGGTCCAAGGGACGGAGGCGGCACCAGGTCTGTGTTCCCGGCCGGAGGGGCAGGGCGGCGCCGCCCCGGGAAGGGCCAGCCCGGTCCTGTCCACTCAACTTCCACCTCCATCCTCTGCGGAAATGGCTTTTCCAGGAGCTCGCCGGCCAGCGTGACTCGAGCTCCACCGGGGCTGGTGGGGGAAGTGACTCAGGCCCCCCGGGAGAAAGTGAGCCCTGGGTCCCTGCCCCCATGTGGGGACGGGGCGGGCCCAGCAGGAACGGGAGCTGGACCTGCGCCCCGCTACCGGCCCATTGTGTCCCCCATTGTGTGCTTGGGGCCAGCCTGTTCTTGCGGTGTTTACGGAAGGCCTGAGGTCAGGCGGCCACCCTGGCAGGGGACCGGCCCAGCCCCCTCTCTCAGGCCGCAACTCTGCTCCCCGCTCCCCCCCTTCTCTACGGGGGACCCCAAAGCCAGGGGTGGGCGCACGCGTGTCTGGGGCCTTTACCAAGGCCGGCCCTGCCAGGAGGGGAGGCTGGGCACCAGCGGTCTGGCCTGGTCTGGGAACAGACAGCCGTCCCCAGCCTCGGTTTCCTCGTCTGTAAAACGGCGGAACAGCAGGACCCGCCTGGCCGGGTGGCTCTGAGGATTCACTGTGGCAGGGCAGCCTGGCCACCGTCATTCTGGAGGTGTCGCTAGAGCTCCCCTCCGAGACTGGCTCTGGCTGTGTCCCAGCCTGCGGCCTCGGGGCGGGCGAGGGCCTGGCCTGCTGCGCACTTGACAATTGGGGCCAGTCCCGAGGGCCCCAACTCCACACACCCCTGGTGCCGTTTGGGGGGTGGCAGGTGTGTGTAGGCGGGGCAGACCTGGGGCACAGCATGGCAGGGGAGGGGGGAGGCGCTAAGTGGATGGGCGGGACAGTGCCCTGCCCCTGCCGGTCCTGTTGGGTTGGAATCTCCCTGTCCCCAGCCCGCTCTGCTATGCAGGCAGGCCCAGGCGGAAAGGAGCCTCATGCTGGAACAATTTCCCCTCAAGGTGCTCAGCGGGTGATCAGGCTGCAGGGGGCGGGGTAGGCACAGGAGGGGGACAGGAGGGGCCTTCGACGGCCCAGGGGGCTGAGTTGGGGACAGGCATACTGAGCTGACACCATGGTGCCTGCCGCGCCGCGCCCATGGCCCCGTGCTAAGCCCTCGACAGGCATCAATTCATTTAATTCGCACAGTGACCCTGGGGTGGGCTTGGTTTTTATTCCTCTACACAGGTGAGGAAAGTGAGGCCCAGAGAGGGTGGGTAAGTGGCCCAAGGACACACAGCTAGTTAGTGAGCGGGGCAGCCAGGATTCGAACCCTGGCAGTCTGGCTCTAACCCACCTCACTAACTACGGGTGGGTTAAAGGAAGCCAGGCAGCCCCTGCCCCTCAAGCCTCAAGAATGCAGATGGGCCCTGAGTTGTCCCCCTCAGAGTGGCTGCTCAAGCAGCTGGGGAGGACTCCAAGTGTCAGGGGTAGTTTGTCCCACGTGTGTGTTTAAATCCCTTCCATGGCACCCCGTGATGGTACAGCTTCACTTGTGGCCTTCCAGTGACGGGGAGCTCACTCCCTGTCCCTCTGCCTTACTCTCAAGGGCCAATCCGGGAGGCCAGATGCCAGGCGATGGCTCTGTGCTGTCCTGCACCCTCGTCTCCTGACAGTGGGGCCACTCTGAAGGTCACAGGCCAGAGAGATGATAGACTGGCCAGCTCCTCCCTGCCTGCCGAGGGAGGCAGGGCCAGCCACAGGAAGTCGCTGGCCCTCTTTGGGTCTCAGATGGGAAATTTGAATCAAATTCTCCAAATGAGCTTTGAGTTTGTAAGTGGCGAGTGGGGGTCACAGCGAGGGGGCTTCCTGGAGGAAGTGACGTTTGGACGGGAGGTTAGAGGTGCCCAGCGACAGGGACTGGCAGAAAGTAGAAGGGAAGGGGGGTGCAGAGGACGTGTCCCGGATGTCGGGTTTCCTTCTGCTGGCCTGAGGTGGCAGGAGGTGGTTTTGACAGGAATCAGAGTGTGGAGAGGGGACACAGTGAATCACGACCCAGGGGACGGTGCTGTTCCCTAGAACACTTTCACATCCTTCTCAAGGGTGTGTCCTGCGGGGCCACCAGGGCAAGGTGACGAGCTCATGTCACCTAGGATTGGGCTGATGAGGCCTGAGCAATTGGGGCCCCATCCACATGGTGGGACAGGGGGACACAGGGCACTGGCTGTGGTTGGAAGGGCCAGGTTCATGTGAGGGAGGACTGGTCCAGGAGACAATGAGCTCCTGCCTGGGACACCCCTGCCTTTAACACTGTCCTCGAATATTCAGTTCAAAGGCCACCTCTTCCTGAAAGCCCTCTTTGGTTTCTCCCAAACTGAGACTGCTCGTGTGCCCATGGGTCGCCAGGCACCCCTTCGTCTGGCTGGTGGCAGATGGGTGCATCTGTCACTGTGGCCAGGTGCAGCTTCCCACAGGATGAGGTTGCCTGTTTGTGTCTGTGGGCACCCGGCTCCACCACAGGGCCAGCTGGCAGCACGGAGGGCCGGGCCACCTGGCAACTCTCTGTAAGTGCCAGGCCCCCAGGTTCCCTGCCCGGCACTACAGTCCCGAACAGGCAGGGAAAGCCCCTGGGCCCCCAGAGCATTCTTGGGCAAGTCATTTAGCCCCTTGGGCCTCAGCTTCCAAATCTGTGAAATGGGCCCACGGTAGTGCCCACTGCACAGGGTTGGAGTGAGAATTGGTGCAGGGGTGGTGGGGCTGGGGTGGGTCAACCCAGAGGCTGGCAAATGGAAGACGCTCAGCTAATAGAGGCCATGGCGGGGACAGAGGTGTCCGCTTAATGCTGGGGTCGGGGCCTCCCGCATTTGGGCAGTACCGAGTCCTAGTCCCCAGCAGGGATGACATCACTCTGCTGCTCTGGCACCTGGGGCTGGCTCCCCCTGGTGGTCATGCTGGGAAGCGCCATTGCCCCCCATGCCCTGTAGAGGGCGCCATGGACATGCTGGTCCTCCCGCTCCTTCACCCGCCCGCCCTGCAGCCTCCGTCCCGCAACCTCTGTGCGCCAGGCCCTGTCCCCAGGGCTGGGGGACATCCCCCGCTGACTGAGCAGGGACGCACATCTCGCACTGCCTGGCGGAGGCTTTGGCCCGTGGCGGGAACCAACAGAGGCTGGGACTGACTCTGCGGGGACTTGAGGAGGGCTTCCTGGAGGAGGCGCCCCCGAGCTAGGTCTCAGGGTAGCAGGGGCAGCTCTGGAGCCTCCTTCACTCTATACCCCTCCGGGTTCTGCAGGGCCGGACGGCGCTTCCCGGTGGAGCCCCCATCCCGGGCTGCAGGCAGGAGTAACTGCCCGCGGTCCCGGGCCCGGGACGGGCACTTTCCTTAGCCGCGTGCGAGCGGCTGGCACGGGGCCCTCGCTGCGCCCGCTCCGGGGAGGCCCGCGGGCCGTGTGCACGCCCGCCTCCCGCCTGGCGCGGTGCGGGCTCCCGCCGACCGTCCGGCCTCTTGCAGGTGGCGACTCCTCGGTGTGACTCGGTGGGACGAAGATGGCCGCCCACGTGCTGCTCCTGCCCGCGCTGCTCCTCCTGGTCCCAGGTGGGCTTTCCGGGGCGCCCGGGGGCTGTTGGCACTTGAGGCATTTAAATGCCCGCGCGTGCAGGGCCGCTGTGGCCCTCCCGCCGCCTCCGTTGGGCGGGCACTGGCCTGCGAGCCCGGCTCGGCTAGTGGGTGGCGGCGTGGAGAGGGGGAAGGTGCTGGCTCCTCCGGCAGACGCAGCCCCGCAGCGCACAGCGTGGGGTGGGGACGAGGCCCCACTCGCCTCTGCAGCCCGGGCACCCTTGTGCAGTGCACAGCCTGCGCAACCATCCACAGCAGCCATGGCCTCGTTAACTACTCTGTTTCTGTTAAAAGTATTTTGTTTTTTTTGTTTTTTTTTGCTTTTGACCTTATTAGTTTGCTCTTTTCATGTTTCGAAGCCAGTAGTTTTTGAGAGGGACAGACTGACATCCTTGCGTGGACTCTGGGGTGGCGGAGGCCCTGGGAGCGTGCGTGAGCCCCACGCTCTGGGCTCCCGCGTCCCCAGCCCGGGCGTCCCCTCCCAGGCCGGGGCTGGCTCCCGCCCGGGCCCACCTGCAGCCTCTGCCCGGCAGGTGCGCGCGGCGCGGCCCCGCGGGAGGACTTCCGCTTCTGCGGCCAGCGCAACCAGACGCAGCGCAGCGCCCTGGTGTACGAGCGCGCGCCCGGGCTGCACATCTCCGTGGAGAACTCCGAGGGGGCGCTCACCGTCCGAGCCCCCTTCCCCGCCGCCCACCCGGCGCCCAGAACCTTCCCCGAGCCCAGGGGCGTGTACCACTTCTGCCTCTACTGGAGCCGGCACGCGGGGAGGCTGCACCTGCGCTACGGCAGGAGCGACTTCCCGCTGAGCGACCGCGCCTCGGGCCTGCTCTGCCTGCGGGGCCAGGAGAGCCGCGCGCACGGCCCGCCGCTGCTTGCCACCTCCTTCAGCTCCTGGGAGAGCCCGCGCAACGCCAGCCTGCCCGGCGCCGCCGGCTTCACCTTCTCCTTCCACAGTAAGGCCACCTCCGGGAGAGCGACAGCTCGGCAGGGCCCGGTGTGGGCCACCAACTCGGCTGCAGCGGGGAGCCATGGGCGGCGTCTGAGGAGGGGAGGAGTGGGACCCAGGGTGCCGCAGGAGGCTTTGGGGGGCGGTGGCGAGGCTGCAGGGACAGTCTAGCTGGGGGAGGGGAGGTGTGGACAGGGGGGGACGGGACTGCATTTCGGGACACGGGAAGGATTCTTCACTGGCTTCAACGGAGATTGCTTATCCCCATTTCACAGAGAAGGAAACTGAGGCACAGAGAAGGTGCCCAGAGTTGCACGGCTAGCAAACGGGGGGGGGGAGCCAGGATTTGACTCCAGTAGCTGACTGGGGTGGAGAGTGGGGGGAGCAAGAGAGGTCAAAGGTCAGGAGCGCAGCAAGGCTGGCTCTGAGGTCTGGAGACCGTGTCTTCTGCCTGGGGTGTGGCGGGTGCGACGGGCCCCGCCTCCTGTCACGTGCTGGATGGGGCGGGGGCGGGCCAGAAGGAGCTCGAGCCTTTACTGGGGGGCTGATTCCTTTCTGACCCCCCCAGTTTGGGGTGTGGCTCCGCAGGGGCCAGGGCACCGAGACACCTGAGCAGGTGCGGGCTGTGACAATGCGAGGCGGGGAGGGTGCTGTCCAGTGTGGTCCTTGGGGGAGTCCACTCTACTTCTTGGGGCCTCAGTTTCCCCTCTGTGAAGCGCAGATAGGAGCGCGCGGGCTGCGAGGATTGGGCGGGAGTGTGCTGGGGAGGCGGCCAGGCCCGGGGCCTCCGTCAGCGGCCCGGGTGGGACTGTCCCCAGGCCCCGCGCACAGGGCGTCTCTCAACGCCTCCCCCGACCTGTGCGAGCTGAAGAGGGACCTGCGGCTGCTCAGCGAGCTCCTGAGGCGTCCCCGCAAGTCCCCGAGGAGGCCCCCGGCCGTCCCCGCCAGCCGGTAAGCTCGGCTCCCCTGCTGGAATGTTCCGGGGCGCTGGCTCTCCGTGTCCTCCAGGGCAGGCTGCTCCGCGGCCCAGCTGGGGACGGTGCAGGCAGGACGGGCCATCCCGGCGAGCTGTGGCCCGGGACGCCCAGCCCGTCTCCGCGTTCCCATGGGCCCGTCTCCCCACCGCCCAGCCCAGCGTCGCCCTCTGTCCCGCCCCGGCGCCTGGCTTTCTCTTTTGTGTCCGGTCTTCTCTCCCTGACCCCGTCCCCCTCTGTCTCCACCTCGCCCTGCTGTGCCTGCCCGAGTCTCTGTCCCCGCTGCCTCAGTCTCCCCGCCAGCCTGGCCGCCCTCCCCGCGGTCACCGCCGCCCTCCCGTCCCGCCAGGCAGCTGCAGAGCCTGGAGTCGAAGCTGACGGCGGTGCCATTCGCCGGGGACACGGTGTCCTTCGAGGAGGACGGGATCAATGCCACTGTGTGGAAGCTGCGGCCTGCGGCCGGCCTCGGGGACCTGCACATCCAGTCGGGGAAGGAGGTCGGGCTGGCTCCGCCGGGCGGGGAGGGGCGGGGGGTGACCGCGGGGTGACACCCCAATGCCTGTCCGTGCACCCCTGTGTGGAGGCTGCCCTGGGGTTTCTGGGTGGCTGGGAGCCACCGCTCCGCCGCTATGGGGCCACTGCGCCAGGCCGCTGTAGGCACAGTTGGTGTCCGAGGCCACCAACAGCAGAACGGCACCAGGTTGTCCCAGCCCGTTTGTCCCTGGCGCCCGGGGTCCAACCACAGGGCTGCCCAGCCAGAGCAGGAAGAGGGCGGGAAGAAGAGGGCTGTGCGAGCCAGGCTGGGCCGCAGGCCCGGAGGGGCAGCATCCAGGGAAGGTGTGTGTGTGGGGACGGGTTGGGGATGGGTTGGGGCCGGTGGCCGAGCCCTGAAGGGACCGTGGACCGCAGGAGGCGCAGAGCGAGGTGCTGGAGTACTCGGTGCTGCTGCCGCGCACGCTGTTCCAGGGGAGCAGAGGCCGCAGGGGCGAGGCGGAGAAGCGACTCCTCCTGGTGGACTTCAGCAGCCAGGCCCTGTTCCAGGTACACGCCCCCACCCGCGCCGCCTCCCTGGGAAAGCAGTTTGCTCCCCGCAGGAGTCAGAGTCCTCCTTGCAAACTCAGAGATGGAACTGCATTTGCAAATCTCCCTGCGAGAGGGCTGAGGGGCGTTGTTCTCACTAGGGTGTAAATGACTACATGTGCACAATCGGTTCCAGAGGGATACTCAGCGTCTCAAAGCAACGTGCTGGGAGAGGCAGTAATCTAGACAGGCTAGGAGATTTCTGGATGCTTCTCAGCCCTGAACAGGGCCTTCTACCCTCTTCCCCCCATACCTTATATCCAGGACAAGAACTCCAGCCAAGTCTTGGGCGAGAAGGTCTTGGGGATCGTCGTGCAGGACACCAGAGTGGCCAACCTCTCAGAGCCCGTGGTGCTCACGTTCCAGCACCAGCCACAGCCGGTGAGCGTGGGCAGCCCAGCCGCGGGGACGAGGGTCCTTGCCTGGCCACGTCCCCTCCCGCCCCCCCCGACCCGCCGGTCCTTGGTGGAGACATGGCCTGGTGGGGGCGCCTGCCCGTCGGGTCCGGGCGGGCGGGCGGGGGCGGCTTGTCCCTGTCCTGGACGTCCTCTGCCCGGCCAGGGAAGGGTGGGCCATCGTGGCCACTCTGCTTCCTTGTCCCTACAGAAGAACGTGACTCTGCAGTGTGTGTTCTGGGTTGAGGACCCGACACGTGAGTGCGGGGGTCCCTGGGCTGGGCAAGGGGCCGGGAGGAAAGCGGGGTGCGGGGGGTGACCCACGTTGACCGGGGTGGCCTCCTGGAGAAAGGCGGGCTTTGGAGCGGGTCGGCCGGCAGCCGGGGACCGCCAGGGGACGGGGCGGCGCAGGTGGGGGTGGGGGGACGGGGCCTGGGTGCGGGGCTTGATCAGAGCCCCACGCCGTCCCCCAGCGGGCGGCCCGGGGAGCTGGAGCAGCGCCGGGTGCGAGACCGTCAGGAGACAGACCCAGACGTCCTGCCTGTGCGACCACCTGACCTACTTCGCGGTGCTGATGGTGAGTGGCCCCGCCGGCCTGGCAGCCGCGCTCCGGGCACTAAGTCACCTGCTGAGTCGTTGGTCCCTCCCGACAACCCTGCAAGCCAGCTCGGGCCGTCCCGTTTTGTAGATGAGGACACAGCGGCTCAGAGAGGTTGAGCGATTTACCCAAGGTCGCACAGCTAGTGAGTGAAAGAGCTGGGCTGCAGGCCCTGGGTCTTCATTCCCGAGTGTTGGCGTGTGGTCAAAATGCAGATTCCCGGCACTAACCCGGGGTTCTGAGTCCCCAGGGCTGGGACTGGGGGTGCGTTTCTAGTGGGCCCCTGAGCGGATGCTGAGGCCCAGCATGGAGGCCCCCGAGGGGATCCAGTGCCCCCCGAGATCTCAGAGGCTTTGCATCCCGGGTTCACGCTGCCACAATGATAGGACTCTCTCTGTGGGTGTCCAGCTGTGGCTTGAACACCCCCGGGCACGGGAAGCTCACCCCCTCGCAGGAACCCCGCTGACTGTCGTGGACGAATAATTAACGCCAGGACAGGAACGGGGTTCTCTGGCGGGGGCTTCCTGGCCCTCGTGGGTCAAGGAGCCATTCGAGAATGTGGTGCAACTGCAGCCCCCCACGGGCACGTCCCTCCCAGTCGGGAGAGGGCGATCGCAGGTTCCCGGGACGCAGCGGGGACGGCGGGTTCGTCCCTCGCGCAGGGCAGACGCTCAGGGCTGAGCTGGGGACACTGAGGCGGCCCTGCTCTGCCCCCGGCCAGGTGTCCTCCGTGGAGGTGGGCGCCGTGCACAAGCACTACCTGAGCGTGCTGTCCTACGTGGGCTGCGTGGTCTCGGCTCTGGCCTGCGTGCTCACCATCGCCGCCTACTTCTGCTCCAGGTGAGGCCGGGCGGGCGGGGGCGAGGCGGGGGCGGGGCGGGGGAGGGCCCCACCTCCCCGAGATCGGCCTGCCCGGCCACCCCAAAATGTGGAGCCGCGCAGGGGTGCCGTCCGCCGCGCCCTGGGGGCCACGCTTCCTCTCGGATGTGTGGCGTGCGGCTAAAACCGCACCTACAAATCGTAACGAGTTCGGACACGCACCGCCGGAGCGTTTGTTCACGTGAGAATCTGTGTTTCTGCCTTTGGACGCGCCCGTGCGAGACCGCGGGGGCTCGTGACACTGTAAGGGTGACAATAATGCTAACGGCTAAGGCTCACGTCCAGCTTCCCACGTGCCCCACACGGCTCCAAGTGTGAGCGTGGGGCAGCCGCACAAAGGCGCTAGGAAGGAGGGCTCAGAGAGGGTGAGCGACTCGCCTGAGGTCACGCAGCAGGAAGCAGCAGAGGCTGTGAGCTTGTCGGTGCCTGGCTTGGTCTCTATTGGGGCCCCCTTACAATCGGGGCCTGGGCCCATGTGGGTAGAGGGGAGACGCCCGTAGCTCTGGGGGACACTGGGAGTGTCCTCACTGTCCTCGACCAGGAGGCGGGTGAGTGGCGCTGTGTGTGTGTGTGCGCGCGCGCACACATACGGCTGTGTCGTGCGTGTCCACAGCCGCGCACGTGGGGGGCTGGGTCAGTGACGGTGACGGGGGCGGCAGACGGGCTGGGCAGAAGCTGGGGCGGGGCAGAGCCCCAGCACTAACCGGTCACACGCTCGCCCAGCGACACGGGCACACATGCTTAGGACTGGGAGTCGTACCTGTGGCAGGTGCTTGGCATCAGGGTGACCCACCCCAGCCCCAAGAGGGGGAGCCGTGCTCCCCCTGCACAGATGGGTAAACTGAGAGTTCCAGGGACGGGAGCAGCCCAAGGTGGTGCCACCAGCCGGGGCAGGGCAGGGTGGAATCCAGGACGGTGACACTTGTCGGAGCATCTTGCTCCACCCTCCAGGGCCACCTAGCACCCTGGGGTGGGCAGGGCAGGGTGGGGTGGAGCGTCTGTTCACGGTGCACATGGTGCCGAGTGTGGGTGCCGGGCGCGCAGTAGGTGCGCGGGGAGCAGCCCCGCTGCGGCTGTGTCGCGTGTGTCCACACACAGGGGCGGGACGGGGAGCGTGCACGGTTGTGTGGGTGCGTTGGGAGTTGGGGGGAGTCTGGGAAGGCTTCCTGGAGGAGGAGGAGGAGCACACTCCCCCTCTGCCTGCCCACCCCGGCCCACCAGGGTGCCCGTGCCGTGCAGGAGGAAGCCCCGGGATTACACGATCAAGGTGCACATGAACCTGCTGCTGGCCGTGTTCCTGCTGGACGTGAGCTTCCTGCTCAGCGAGCCGGTGGCGCTCACGGGCTCCGCGGCCGGCTGCCGCGCCAGTGCCATCTTCCTGCACGCCTCGCTGCTCGCCTGCCTGTCCTGGATGGGGCTGGAGGGCTACAACCTCTACCGCCTCGTGGTCGAGGTCTTCGGCACCTACGTCCCCGGCTACCTGCTCAAGCTGAGCGCCGTGGGCTGGGGTAAGGGCCGGGTCGCCTCCTGGCTCAGGGTGGGGTGTTAGCGGCCCCAGACCCCCGGTTCCACCGGGCTCCGTCCGCACACAGGCGCCTGTTCTGCGTCTCCGCCCATCTCTCTGCCTCCCCCCCCTGCCCTCGCCCACCCTCAGGCGTGCCTCACCTTGGCTGGGTCAAGGTCCCCTTTCGGAAGATGAAGTGATGAGCTCTGTCCCCAGGAAACCCTTCCACCGCCCACATCGCTCACTCCATTCAAGGGGGACTCGTGGGCAGGGCCACCGCGTATGGATGTGCGGGTTGTGCACTGCTCAAAGGCACCAGTGGGCTGAAATCCAGTCCTCCGCCACTCACCGATTCACTCAGGCTGGCGGGGCCCTGCCTACAAACCCCCGAACCGCAGGTGGCAGTTCCCTGTGGCTCTGGCATGTTATTCTTGGCCAACAACAGTCCCGTTCACCTATGGCCCAGACCGATCGTGTCAGCCCAGGGCCGCTCCCACCACAGTCCTTTTGGACATGGCACAGACGCCTACCTCCACGTGTCCCTGTCCCCAGCCCCCTGCTGCTCCTCCTGTGCGTCTCCCTGGCTCACTCTTTGTTCACGCCCTCTGCTCGTGTGACAGTCCTTCAGGTTTGGCTGCGGGTCGGCCCGGGTGTTTGGCGGTGGGCAGCCCCTCCAGGGAGCTCGCGCTCTCTCCCTGATGGGCGAGGTCACAGCCCAGCGTAGACGTGCCCTGGGGGCAGCAGTCTTGCCCGTCCCATCTCTCCTGTGACATCCGGCCCTGCAGCTCCCGGGGCCCCAGGATGGTGGGGGGCTGGGCCAGGTTAGGGCAGGTGGATTCCTGTTGTGGGGAACCCGAACTGGAATGGGGCAGGGAGGGCCCAAGTTTGGGGACCTCCCCCAGATGGGGGCCCAGGCCTCCGAGGGTGGGGATGGAGCTCCACGCTTGGCTGTCCTCAGGCTTCCCCATCTTCCTGGTGACGCTGGTGGCACTGGTGGACGTGGACAACTACGGCCCCATCATCCTGGCTGTGCACAGGACTCCAGAGAGCGTCAGCTACCCCTCCATGTGAGTGGCCGTGCGCGGCGGGGACAGGAACGCGGGCCTCTGGGCGCAGGGGCCAGAGAGCAGCCGGGGTCACGCCGGCCAGGAGCCGCCTGGGTTCCAGTCCCCTGGAGTACCGGCCTGGCGGTGGCTGGAGCCGTGGTCTAGGCTCACGGAGGGCGAGAAATGGCCCAGATCTGCCACTCGCTCTCGGGTGACCTTGCACGTGTCCTGACCCTTCTCTGAGCCTCGGTTTCCTCATTTGTGAACGGGGGTGCGGACAGACCGCACTGTGTCTCCCCTGCAGATGGAGGCACGGAGGCTCAGAGAGGGCAGGGCCACTCGCGGTGACACGGGGAGATGGTGCATGGCTCAGGGCGGGGCGAGTGGGGCTGAACTCCGGCCCGCCTCCACGCGCCTGATTGTCCCGGCCGGCGGCGGCCCCGCCTGTGCCTGCTCCAGACCTCGGCTGGGCTCCCGAGCCGCAGGCTGGGCGGGAGTCCTTGCCGTCCGCTCGGTGTTCTGAAATCCCCAGCCCTTCACACCATGGCCCTGTGACTTTCGCCTCCCTCGGGTGCCATCTAGGTCATTGTTTTCTTAATACTTTTCTTTACGTCGTCTGGCTTGTTAGCGTGAATGCGTTTTTCAAGCCATCATGTCAACGCTATGAGTAGAACACAAGCAGCACTTGGCATACACAGCGAGTCACCGTGGAAACGAACACGGTGACGGCGGTGACAACCGCAAGGGCCCGGGAACCGCTGCTGAGCCCGACGCCCTCCCCGCAGGTGCTGGATCCGGGACTCCCTGGTGAGCTACGTCACCAACCTGGGCCTCTTCAGCCTGGTGTTCCTGTTCAACCTGGCCATGCTGGGCACCATGGTGGTGCAGGTCCTGCGGCTGCGCCCGCACGCCCAGAAGTGGGCCCACGTGCTGACGCTGCTGGGCCTCAGCCTGGTCCTCGGCCTGCCCTGGGCCCTGGTCTTCTTCTCCTTCGCTTCCGGCACTTTCCAGCTTGCCATCCTCTACCTCTTCAGCATCATCACCTCCTTCCAAGGTGGGTATGGAGAAGACCACACCCCCGCCCCGGGCCCAGACGGGGTGTCCAGACATGGTGCACAAGGCCGGGAAGAGATGACCGGGGAACCTGAAGGCTTCCCTTCCCTGGGCCTTGGTCTTCCCATCCATAAAATGGGGGCACCCAGGCCACAGCGGACACACGTTTATTGAGCACCTGCTACGTGCGGGCTAAGGCCTGGGGCTGCGGTGGGGTGGTGGGGTGGTGGGGTGTGCCCTGGGGTCGGTCAGCTCGGTTGGTGGGGCGGGTTGGTTTTGCCAGGAAGGCCGGCGGCCTTTGGGTTGCCTTCTGGGGGCGGGGGGTTGCGTTGGGCGGCTTATTGGCGGGGCTTGGGTTGGGCGGGTTGGCCTCTGTGTAGGGACATGTGAGGACCGCGGGAAGACTGGCCGTGGAGAGGTCTAGGGCCTCGCTGCTCCAGCGGGGGTCCGGGGGCAGCAGCATCGGGGACATGTTGGGAACACAGCACGTGGCCACCCCAGACTGGCCAAAACAGTCCGCATCGTCACACGATGCCCGGTGGACATGCACGCTGCAGGGGAGGAGCCCTGGTCCAAGGAGGGAGCTCCGGGCAGGGGACAAGCACCAGCAAAGGTCCTGGGGCCGGGATGAGGCCGTGTGGCCAAAGGGGAGTGAATGGGGGGCAGCGGGGCAGGATCACGAGGGCCCGGCGTGACACCAGCAGGGTCCCTTCCTGCTCCACCTGCAGCTGTGCCCCCTGCCCCTCAGCTCACTCACACACTCACATACATGCTCACACACACACTCACTCACACACACACGCTCACACACATGCTCACACATACACGCGCTCACACACATGCTTACACACACACTCACACACACACGCTCACACACACGCTCACACACGCGCTCACACACACACACGCTCACACACACTCTTACACACGCGCTCACACACACACACACACTCACACACGCTCACACACTTTTACAGACTCTCACACACGCTCACTCACACATACACACACATGCTCACACACACACTCACTCATACACACTCTCACACACATACACGTGCTCACACACATCCTCACACACTCTTACACACACACACGCACACACATGCTCACACACGCGCTCACACACACACTCATACACACTCTCACACACATACACGTGCTCACACACATCCTCACACACTCTTACACACACACACGCACACACATTCTCACACACATGCTCACACACATGCTCACACACACACACATGCACACACATGCTCACACACGCGCTCACACACACTTTTACACACTCACACGCTCACACACGCTCACACACACGCTCACACATACACACACATGCTCACTCACACATACACACACACGCTCACTCACACATACACACACTCTCACACACATGCTCACACACATACACGTGCTCACACACATCCTCACACACTCTTACACACTCACACACATGCACACACGCTCACATATGCTCACGCTCACACACATGCGCTCACACATGCTCTCACGCTCACACACGCTCACATGCTCTCACACACGCTCACACACGCACACACGTTCACACACACGTTCACACACGCTCACACACGCTCACACATGCTCACATGCTCTCACACACATGCTCTCACATGCTCACACACGCACACACGTTCACACACACGTTCACACACTCACACACATATACACACTCACACACACACATGCTCACACTCACACATGTTCACACGCTCACACACACACTCATACACACATCCACACACACACACACACACCTACACACTCATACTCACACCCACACACTCATACTCACACCCACACACTCATACTCACACTCACACAGGCACACACACACGCACACACACCTACACACTCATACTCACACCCACACACTCATACTCACACTCACACAGGCACACTCATACTCACACTCACACACTCTCACACACACGCACACACACACCTACACACTCATACTCACACTCACACACTCTCACACACACGCACACACACACCTACACACTCATACACTCACACACTCTCACACACTCACGCTCACACGCACACACGCCCTGCTCTTGGCGGTGCCGGGCGGGGAGGGCAGTGGCAAGGCCAGGCCCGGGGCCCCCACGGGTGCGAGGCAGCCTCCCTCCCTCCCTCCCGGCCACCGCCGAGCGGACAGCAGACGTGGGGGGGATGTCACTCAATCCCAGCTGTTTCGCTTTCGGTCTTCGCTTCTCGCCGCGGGGCGTGGGAGGCCCTCGCGCACTCGCCAGCTGTTGCACGTCGTAGCAGGATTATCGTGGGGGAGCAACAGCGCACGGTGCTTAGGTGGGGTCCCCGGGAGGAGCCTGCTCACCACCGCCGCCCCTGGCCCAGCCACACCCCTCACCTGGGCCTCCGGGGGCCTCGGGCTGCTCCCGTGTGTGACAGACAGTAGCCACGAGGACCGGCCTCTAGGAGCCCGAGAGACGACAGCGAGGGGCGCGGGCACGGCAGGGCCCCCTGGGTGCGTGGTGCCCGGCGGTGGCAGCAGTGCCGGGGGAGGCGGGGGAGGGCGGGGCAGCTCTGAGTCTCGGTGGCCCTGGCGGGGGGGTGGGGACGGGGACGGAGGGGCTGCCCCAGCCTGCTCAGCCGTGTCCCCGCTGCCCGCAGGCTTCCTCATCTTCCTCTGGTACTGGTCCATGCGGCTGCAGGCCCGGGGCGGCCCGTGCCCTCTGAAGGGCAGCTCGGACAGCGCCAGGCTGCCCATCAGCTCGGGCAGCACCTCGTCCAGCCGCACCTAGGCCGCCGGCGCGGGACGCGGAGACGCGGCCGCCCCACGCTGCCTGCGGCCCCAGCCCGCCCGGCCAGCCCAGGGTCAGCCGGGGACTTGAACGAGCTCGAGGACCCTGGAGGGATGGGGCTGTCGTCATGGCGACTGGCCTCCCAGGCTGGGACCTTCTGAGCTGGCCTTGGATGCAACTCGGCTGTCTGTCGGATCCAGCTCCCGCGGGACGCAGGAGCGCTGCCTCGCTGGCTGCGGGGCTGTCCCCACAGCCGTCCGACCCGGGCCTTTCCTCACCGCCCTGACCCCAGCGCTCACAGCTGGGGTCAGGCCTCAGATCTGGGGGCCTGGCATGTGCTTAGCCCGCGCCCCTGCCAGGACAGAAGTGTGACTCTAGACCAGGGCTCCTCAAACTTTCTAAATGGGGCCAGTTCCCTGTCCCTCAGACCGCTGGAGGGCCGTGGGAGAGTGCGACGCCCGTTCCACACGCCACTGTGGGCGGGGCCAGTCGCTGCCAAGCAGGACAGGCAGCGGCGGCGGGCTGCGTGTGGCCCGCGGGCCGTAGTTCGAGGACGCCTGCCCTAGATGCTCTATTTCTGGTGATCACCTGCAGACACTCCGCAGCTCCTGTTGTTTTCACCTAAGGGTGGCACCTGGGGCCAATGGGGCTCGCAGCAGAGCTTGGGGACCAGCGCCTGGAGGAGGAGAGGCCCCTCCCCGGAGCAGAGAGCAGCTCGCCTACCTCGGAGCCCCAGGCCCTCTCCCTCCACCGGCCTCCCCTCCCTCCACCGGCCTCCCCTCCCTCCACCGGCCTCTCCTCCCTCCACTGGCCTCCCCTCCCTCCACCGGCCTCCCCTCCCTCCACCAGCCTCCTCTCCCTCCACCAGCCTCCTCTCCCTCCACCAGCCTCCCCTCCCTCCACCGGCCTCTCCTCCCTCCACCGGCCTCCCCTCCCGGGGCCTCCCCGTCCTTCACCCCCAGCCCGGGCCCCCAGTTCCCACTCTATGTTTGGGGTAGCTGCTCCCAGTGGCTTCCTGGTGCCTGCTGTAAACTTCGTCTACTGCCCGGGCCTTGGCCTGCCCCGACTCAGGCTTCACGCAGACTCCCGGGCCGGGCCAGGTCCGTCTGTCCGTCCGGGCCCCCTGAGCTGCCTCAGCCCTAAGCACACACCTCAGGGGCCCCCGCCTCTCCCAGAGCCCTCTCCTGTGGCAAGACCTGTAGACCGCGGCAGGCAGTCTCCTCTTGTTCCATCCCGGCACTCACGGGGGGACACTGGCCTAGAGCCCGACCTGTCCCAAGGGGTCGTCTCCAAATCCTGCGAGTGGCTCCAGACACACTCAGCTGCCACCCACAAACACCAGGCAGTCGCCAGTCCGTGCTGGGTGGCAGGGACACGGCCAGACCTGGTCGTTCCCGCTGCCAGCCCTCGGCCTAGTGTGCTTGTGACACACCCTGGAGCTGCAGGCACAGGTGGGGAGCCGCCCTCCTGGCTGGGGCTGCAGGGGAATTTCTGTAGGTGGCAGCGTTTGAACTTGACCTCAGCCTTAGAGATGTAGATGTTCTTTTTAAGTAGCAATGCATTTGTCTTTTGATACTAAAAAGAAGTATGTGTTTGTTGTAGACAGTCTGAAAACCGTAGGATATCAAGATGAAAAATAAAAATCAACTGTCAAGTTATCACTTAACCGGGTGTGAGCATTTTCTTCTGAGCTTTTTTCTGTGCTTCTGTTAAGAGAGTCACTAATACGAACACCTTGGGGCCAATCAGGGAAAGGGAACAGGAAGGAGAGGAGAGGGCTACTTGGGGGCGGGGGGATGTCAACTGCTGGAAGCTGTGTCAACCGGGACAAGGGGGAGGGCAAAAGGCAACTTGGTGTCTGTGTTGGGGAGACAATAGGGAGAAGTGGGGTCTGGGGCGAACTGGAGAATCCAAGCCCCACGCTGAGGGGTCGGCTGCTCGTCAGCTCTGGCTGGCTGGTCACTGCCCCCAAGGGCCCAGACCACCTGTCTTTTTTTTTTTTTTGGAGACACAGTCTTACTGTGTTGCCCAGGCTAGAGTGCCATGGCATCAGCCTAGCTCACAGCAACCTCCAACTCCTGGGCTCAGGTGATCCTTCTGCCTCATCCTCCCAAGTAGCTGGGACTACAGGCATGCGCCACCATACCTGGCTAATTTTTCTATGTATTTTTAGTTGGCCAGTTAATTTCTTTCTATTTGTAGTAGAGACAGGGTCTCTCTCTTGCTCAGGCTGGTCTCGAACTCCTGACCTTGAGTGATCCTCCCACCTCGGCCTCCCAGAGAGCTAGGATTACAGGCGTGAGCCACCGCGCCCAGCCCCAGACCACCTGTCTTTTATAAGAAATGAGAAATCCAGATTGTGGCGTGAAATCCCCTGATTTAAAAATGTTGGCGAGTTCAAAAAATTCTCTGGCCAAAAACATCGCATCCGAGGGCTGCATCCAGCCCCAGCCTGGTCCTGGGAAGTTTGTGACCAGCTGATCTCCCCTCCCTGCCTTTAACCTTGTCCCGCCAAATCTCTCCTCCCATCCTGTGACCCGGGTGAGACAGATTGCGTAGGAGTCTGTCCCGGACGCCCACGGGGAGCAGCCAGGTCTGGTGGCTGCCGCTGTGTGCAGACATAAAGTCCCCAGGCCTCTGACCCAGCCCTGGCCCCGGCCCCAGTAGAGCCCTGTCCCCTCCGCAGCCTCCTTCCCCCTCTCCCGGCCGCGCCAGGGGAGCTCGGGCAGGACAAGAGGCTCCGGTCTGTCGGGCTGGGCAGGACAGGTGTGAGAACACGCTGGCAGCCAGGGCTACACTGGCAGCACCCTCTAAGAGGCACCAATGTGGCACCTTTGGGGACAGACAGGGGCCTCCGTGTGTGGGAACCTCCTGCCACCTGCTGTCCTCCTGATCTCCCCCCTACCCCAATTTCCGGTCCCCAGTGTCCTGATCGGCAGCCCAGTGGCATCAGAGCCAGGTCCCTCCTTACAGGCCTCTGGGTCTCTGCAGGGGGTCTCAGGTCCCCATTGCTGGGCTGGGCCTGGGGGGAGAGGTGAGGCCACTCCCCCATCCCCAAGGAGGGAGGGCAAGGACCAGCCCTGCCCCAGGCAGAGAGCCCTCCCCTCGGACAAATGCCCCTTCTTCTTGAGCATCTCGGTTCTGCCTGGTGGGGAGGGGTCTTGGTCGGGTCCTGCCTTCTCTGATCAGCCCTGCAGCGGCTGGTGACAGCTCCTTGGTGCTCCTTTGATGGTCCTGATCACCCACCTCCTGCGCTGTGGGCTTTAGACCCCAGGGTCACCCTTGCCACCGGGCACGGCCAGGTCTGCGCCTGCAAGCACCCCCTGGCATGGGAAGTAGATTGGAGAGGCCAGAACACAAGCTGGGGACAGGAGGTGGCAGCAGGGGAAGCTACAGTTCTGTCTGCCCTGGGATGTGGGGGTCCCAGGGCTCTGTAAGTGGCTCCACGGGGACAGTCCCCGTCCCCGTGGGGTCTAGGAGGGGTGACTTTCAGAGAAGGGGCTGCAGGGAAAGGTAGCCTTCCTTCTGGCCCCACCTGACCCTTACCTGTCACCTTCCCAGCTGCCCTGATCCTGCCTCCCAGGTGGGCTGGGCGCTCTGCGACCCCCGGCCCCTTCCGCACAAACCGGCATGGCGAGCCCCTCTGCCGCTGGGGTCTAAGGGCGGCCCGGCATGGCCGACCCGCCATTTCACCTCCCACTGCGGCGGGCAGGCGGGGAGGGGAGGCGGGGCAGGCCCAGCGGTTCGTCTGCCCGCCCCCCTTCCCTGCAGAGGAAGCTTCTGGGGCTCAGGAAGCCCTGGGCTGCGACCTGCTGCCCCACACCAGGTTCCCACCTGCCTCCCACCCCCGACAAGTGACCCCGACGTTCCCACCCCAGCCCTCCCAGGCCCAGAGGGCTCGGCCGGACCCGGGCCTGTCTGGACACCACGTGGGAGGCAGGGGAAACCGAGGCCAGCGGGGGCAGGCGGTCCCCAGTTGGACCCCAAGGCTAGCTCGGCCTCGTGGGCCTGAAGACGGTGCTGATGAGGACACACTGTCTTGGTGGCACGCCCTCCCCTCTGGTCCCCCAGGGGCCCAGCTCCGTGGGGCCGTGGGAGCCGGAGCGGAGTGGGCGGCCCTGCCCCAGCGGTGGCCAGCCGGGGCATGGGGACAACAGTTCCACAGTGCTGACGATCAGAAAGCGATAGCGGCACAGCCCATGCTGTCATCGGGGCCACAGGGCCAGCCAGTGCCCTGGCCCCACACCTCCAGCCCCTCAGGCCGGAGCCACCGTCCACGTCTGCGCCTCTGCCTAGAGCCAGGCTCTGTGCCCGGCCCTTTGCCGGTCTCGTCAAACCCCGACGCAGCCCACATCGCCATCTCTGCTTTACAGAAGGGAAACCGAGGTTCAGAGAGGCTGTGGGACCCCAGCCCCCCAGCACCCCCCACAGACCCTGGAGCACGCCCGGTGGGCGCAGCAGCTCCCCCTGCAGGTGGCCCCGCGGAGGGGTGAGGCTGGGAGCACTGCCGGTTCCCCACCCTCACCTTTCACAACCCCACCGATGGCGCCATGGAGCAGGAAGGGTGAGAAAGAGCACAGGAAGCGCGGGGCGGGCCGGGAGGGCTAGCTGGGGGACCTGGGCCTGGAGGCCAGACGGCCACAGGGCTCTGGCCAAGGATGGCGGCGCCCCGCGGCCTGGGGGCCCTGCTCCTGCTGCTCCTGCTGCTCCTGCTGCTGCTGCTGCTGCTGGCCTCAGGTGAGCAGGCCCTCGCCCCCGCTGCCAGGCCTGGGTGACCCCGCTCTGCGGAGGGCTGGGGCAGGGGGAGCCAGGGATGGGCTCAGGTGAGCAGGCCCTTGCCCCTGCTGCCAGGCCTGGGTGACCCTGCTCTGCGGAGGGCTGGGGCAAGGGGAGCCAGGGATGGGCTCAGGTGAGCAGGCCCTCGCCCCCGCTGCCAGGCCTGGGCGAGCCGCCCTGCCCTGCGGAGGGCTGGGGCAGGGGGAGCCAGGGACGGGCTCAGGGGCGGGAGGGGTGAGGAGTGGGGTGTCTGGGGTGTGTCCTCCTGGGAGTCTCCCCACCGCCTTGGCACCTCCCTAGCCTTGTCGCTCGGGGTCAGTGCGTCGTCCTGCCAAACCTCGGGCAGGGCCGGGTCTCAGGTCCCCTTTCAGCGCTGTGGGGACAGGGGCAGGACAAGAGTGTCCCCACTCCTCGACGGGGCTGTGGCGCCCTGGCAGGCCTGGCTCGGGGACGGGGCAGGCCCTGGACAAGCTGCTCTCCTCTCCCCACCTCTCCACACCGCCGGTGGTGCTCAGTGACAGGGCCCTCACCCCTCCCGCCCTCACCCCGGGTCTCACACTCACCGTGCAGAGCCTCCACAGAGGCAGCTGGGGACACCGGGCCTGACCCTCGCTGTCCCCTCTCCCAGGACAACCGCCCCGACCCCTTGCCCCCTGGCGGGCTGCAGCTACCCTCCCCACGCTCTGTGGTGTCTCAGCCGCCCCGACCCCTTGCCCCCTGTCGGGCCACAGCTGCCCTCCCCACGCTCTGTCTCAGCCGCCCCCTCGGGCAGGGGACGTGTCCTTCTAGGCACCCCCACGCACGGCCTCGCGGGCTCCTGCCGTCCTGCCCTGACTCGGTGAGCGGCCTGGGCATCTCCCTGCGTGTCTGCCCTGCCTGTGGTCCCAACACTTCGGCCACGGGGATCGACCCCTTTGGGCTTCAAAGAACCCTCTTCTCTTCGCCTGTCGGGCGTGCCGGCCAAGTGCGAAGCTCGGTCCCTGGCTCTAGAAAGGGTGCAAACGGCAGTGCTGTCCTAGCGGCCTGGCCAGGGCCTGGTGTGGAGCAGGCCGCCCCGTGGCGCTTGATGGATTAATTAACTTAGTAACCGAAGGCGGCGTCATTGGGTCTCACGGGCGTTGGAGGACCAGGCCCTTGCAGGCCTTTGCAGGGGACCACGTCCCCCCATGGTGACGACGTGGGAACTCTGGTTCGGGCAAAGCATCCGCTGTTTGGATGAGTGAGGAGCGTTGAGAGGTTCGTGTGTAGCAGTAAGACTGTTTCCTCTGCGGATGTTTACGGGTTAGTCACCGTTTGCCCATTCATTCATTCATTCATGCATTCATTCATTCATTCCTTCAGCATCGGTGGCTGCCTGCTGTGCCGGCCCTTGCCGCTACACCTGGCCCCTGCCCTCAAGGGCTCACAGCCTGGTGGAGCGGGGTGGGGACCCACGTGCAGGACCGGCAGTCAGGGCTGAGCAGGGGACAGAGGCGGTGGGGGCTTCCGTGAAGGGACACGTTTCAAGGGCGCGGGCAGAGCGAGGGGAGCGAGGAGGGTGGTTGCGCGGCGGGCTGGCACCCGAGGGCTGCGCTCAGCACCCGGGCCTGCCGGGCACGGGAGGGGCCGTCCCCGGGATGCCTGGACCCAGGCTGCGGCCACCGGACGGAAAGCCGGTCGCCTCCACTGCTGGTGACGGGCAGGGAGGGGCTGCAGGGGCCACGGGGGCGGGGCAGATGCCTGCGCTGCCCTCTGACCTCCAGCCCACTCCCCATCTGCTGCACCCAGACTGGGGGTTCACGGAGCCCGGGCTCTGGGGCAGAGCGTCTGGAGGTGGCGCCGTCCCACATACAGGTCTAGGTCGGGGGCTCCTTGTCTGGACTAAATGCTTCCAGCATCTTCGAAGAATAATCGTGCAAAGGATACTTATTTTCTCTGCACCCGGTGCTTGCTGCGAGCACTGAAATTCACAGCAGGCCGGGAGGGAGGCTCTGTCGTCCCCCAGCACGGTGCCACCTGCACCTGCACCTTTGGTGACCCGCTGGGCAGACAGCAGGGCTGGGAGGACGAGGATGGCACCTCCCCTCAAGCTGACAATTCTCTCCCTCTTCCTCTCCTTTTCTCTCCTCCCCTCCCCTGTCCCCTCTATTTAAAAAGCAAACATGGACCCTCCTGCAGACCCGCTCACCTACCCTTTGCCTTGTCCCGTGAAACGATGTATCACGGCATCTTCACAATCTAACGGCAGTGTGAAGTTCCTTTGCCAGCTAATTAAAACAACGTGGCCATGTAGAGTAGATTATTATAAAGTCCACTCTAAAAGGTTATGTGTTGGCCGGCGCGGTGGCTCACGCCTGTAATCTTAGCACTCTGGGAGGCCGAGGCGGGAGGATCGCTCAAGGTCAGGAGTTCGAAACCAACCTGAGCAAGAGCGAGACCCGCCTCTACTAAAATTAGAAAGAAATTAACTGGCCAACTAAAAATATATAGAAAAAATTAGCCAGGCATGGTGGCACATGGCGGCGAGTAGTCCCAGCTACTTGGGAGGCTGAGGCAGGAGGATCGCTTGAGCCCAGGAGTTTGAGGTTGCTGTGAGCTAGGCTGATGCCATGGCACTCTATCCAGGGCAACAGAGTGAGACGCTGTCTCATAAAAAACAAACAACAACAAACAAAGCAAAGATATATACTCAAGAATCCTCATGGCTGATTATTAAAAAAAAAAAAACAAAAAACTCAAAACCTAAATTTCCACCAATAGGGAACCAGTTGAAAAACTTGTCACACTCATATAGTGGAATAGTATGCAACTATGTAAATTTGCATGACATGGAAATGACATAGGAAGCTCTTCAATATATTGCTAAGTGAGCCCATTCATGCAAATTTAAAAATGATATGAATACTTGCATACACACAGAAAATTTCCAGAAGGTTATGCAACAAACTGTTAAAGGTGGTGAACTCTGGGTGTGGCCTGGAACCTGCAGGAAGAGGGACTTTTACTTTTAATTTTATGTCCTCATGCACAGTTTACATTTTTTTTTTGAGACAGCGTCTCACTCTGTTGCCCAGGCTAGAGTGCCTTGGCGTCAGCCTAGCTCACAGCAACCTCAAACTCTGGGCTCAAGCAGACTCCTGCCTCCAGCCTCCCGAGTAGCTGGGACTACAGGCATGCGCCACCATGCCCGGCTAATTTTTCATATATAATCAGTTGGCCAATTAATTTCTTTCTATTTTTAGTAGAGACGGGGTCTCGCTCTTGTTCAGGCTGGCGGCATGCGAGCAAGAGTTATAGCAGGAAGCCACAGCTGCAAGGGCTTTGGAAACTCTGATATGGAACAACTGTGAAAAGCCAGGCGGGCCCCCTGGAGGAGGTGGTAGAGGAGTAGTAGCACTAACATACGAAGCTTTTATCTGCAGAGCCATGTGCTGAACCTTTGGAGGCCCAGGAGGGTACGGGTGCAGCTGCGGTGCACAGTCAGCGTGATGGAGCTGGGACCGCAGCCCGCACCGCCAGGCTCTGGCGCTCCAGCTGCTGTCCCTGCTCCCCGCCGTCACTTCCTCCCCCGGCCCAGCCCACTCACACTGTCCGCGTCCCTCCCTTAGGTGAGGAACGGCACACGGAAAAGCCGAGAAATGTCTGCCTGGAGCACAACTATGAAGACTCTTATGACACCTTAAACTTGGGGGACAGGGCTGAGTGTTTCACCAAGTGTGGGTGGTCGGAGAGCGGCCCTTGCGACGTGGGGAACTTGCAGAGGTGAGGGGGGCCCTCCGAGCCGGAGCGGGGGCCTGGGGTTCCTGGGAGGGGGGCTGTTAGGAAGGGATGGGACCATCTGCCTCATGGCCCCAGAAATGCTGCCACTATCTCACCCTTCCACCTTGTTGTGTGACACCCCCTTCCCCCTGACCCAGCACCCTTCACCCCAGCAGGCAGGGCCCTACTGATCTAGGGTACAGAGATGCACCCGCCCGTGTCCCCGCCTTTGGGAGTTGCAGAGGGACATACACACACCCAAATGATGATGACTCCTGAGTGTGATCATACGGGAAAGGTGGGCGAGGTTCCACGCTAGCCCAGAGGAAGGAATTCTGCCAAGGCTTCACAGAAGAGGCAACCCATGAAAGGGCTTTGAAGGATGCATAGGAGTTTTCCAGTTGGATCCAAGAAATGGTGGAGGATACAGGCAGAAGAACTTTAGAGTAATGGGGGAGAACTTTAATGCTTTGAACTGTGAGGGCATAAGGTGCTGGGGGGTAGAGGAGACATGGGAGACGGGATGGGTGGGAATATTAGCAGGGACTAAGGTGGGAAAGATCCTGTAAGTTATACCAGTGGGGGAGGGGAATGGCATATCTTAAGCACAAGAAGAGTGTAGTCAACTTTTTATTTCAGAAAGATTGCTCGGCTTCAGGGAAGGCTACAGGGGTGGTCATGCAGGAAGGGACATGACAAGGCAGGGTGCAACTGCAGAGGTCTGGGTAAGATTTGGGGCTGCACCACCACCACCACCACCACCAGCCGGCATTGCGTGTTTGGACAGGAGAAGTGGATCAGAGATGGTTTGATGTAGAATCCATAAGACCAAGAGACCGATTAGATGTGGGGTGACGGAGAAGGGGTTTAGAATATAACATCTTCAAAAATCATCTCCAGGCTGGGCGAGGTGGCTCACACCTGTAATACTAGCACTCTTGGAGGCCGAGGCAGGAGGGTCTCTTGAGGTCAGGAGTTCGAGACCAGCCCAAGCAAAAGCGAGACCCGGTCTCTACTAAAAATAGAAAAATTAGCTGGTCATAGTGGCAAGTGCCTGTAGTGCCAGCTACTCGGGAGGCTGAGCCAGGAGGATCGCTTGAACCCAGGAATTCGAGGTTGCTGTGAGCTAGGCTGACGCCACGGCACTCGAGCCCAGGTGACAGAGTGAGACCCCCTTCTCAAAACAAAAAAAAAATGACATCTCCAAAAATATCTCTACCTCTCTCCCCTCCTCTCCCTTCTAATCAAAGTTGCCCAAAACTCTTCTGGGATACCCAGAAAAGCACCTAGCATTTAGTTGGTACTCGATTAGCATTTGTTGAAGGAAGGAGTGGAACCCTGTGCTCTCAGGCATGGTGTTAGGATGGCAATCTGATTAAATGACATCATTTCAGTGGCCTGGAAATGCTCCCCTCTTTCCTGTCGCCACTCCAGGTGCTTCTCAGCAGCCAAAAGGTGCTGGGGGGCTCCTCTCTGTGCTGCCTGGGTATACACCCCAAAGAATTTAAACCAAGTCTTCGAACAAAAGCTTGTGCATGACTATTCATGAGCAGCACTTTTCACAATAACGGAGAAATGGAAAAGACCCGTATGTCCACGCATGGATGAATGCATAACCAAAATACGGTGTATCCGTGCAATGGAATAACATCCATTCGTAAAAAGAAGTGAAATACTGACACGTGCTGCAGCATAGGTGAACTTTGGAAACATTGTGCTGAGTGAAAGAAATCAGACACAAAAGGCCTCATACTGGGTGATTCCGTCTGTATGAACTACCCAGATTATGCAAAATCGTAGAGACAGAAAGCAGACTCATGGGTGCGGGGGCTGGGGAAGGAGGGAGGGGGTGGCTGCTTCATGGGTCTCGGGTTTCCTTTTGGAGCGATGAAAAACGTTCTGGAACTAGACAGTGGTGATGGTTGCTCAACATTGTCCATGTACTTGATGTCATTGAATTGTACACTTTAAAACGGTTAAAATGGTAAATTTCATGTTATGTGCATTTTACCGCAAAAAAAAAGGCAAACAGAGTCCTCAAAGGGGACCCTTGGCTGGAATCCCTCAGGACCAGCCTGGATGGCTCTTAAGCCACACTTCTTTCTTCCACAGTGACCTCAGGGTCTTTAATTTGATATTCCGGTCTGCCCTGTCACCCCAAGAGCCTGATGAATGAATGAATAGCTCAGCCTCCAGGCCCCTCCCCTCCCCCGTTGCCGGCCCCCTGCAGATACTGGCTGAACTACGAGGCCCACCTGGTGGAGAAGAGTGGGTCGGAGACAGTGGACATGCCTTTCGTGAAGGCTTTGATCCGGAACTTCAGAGCCGACACCGAGGAAGACCTACTCTTCTCTCTGCAGCCCGCGCAGGTGACGCGGTCTCCCACCCCTATTGGCTGGCTCCTACCCTGTTTCCCCTGGGCTCCTATTTCACAATCCTAAGGGAGTCAAGGCCGGTGCTTGGTGTCCATGGGACCTGACCCTGCCACGGCCCACTGGGCTGAGCTCTGCCGCCCCGCTAGTGGGCGCTCGCGAGTCAGCCGGGCGGGCGGGTCCTGCTCGTGGAGTATCGGGGCGCTGGGATGGACGCTCGGAGGACCCGGGTTCTGGTCCTGGACTTGCCACCACGTCCCTAGATGTCCTCCAGGAAACCCCTTCCCCTCGCTGGGCCCCGGAGTCCTCAGCTGTAAAATGAGCGCTAAGTATGTCCCAGTCTGCAATTCCCACGAGCTCGTCCACCCAGGGAACATGCCGGAAACAAACCAGGGAAGGGGCACACTTGGCAGCCACGGGCTCAACGGGCTGAGTCTGGATTCCAATCCTGGCTCTGCCCCTTACCAGCCATTGTGATTGCAGGGAAATTACTCATCTGAGCCTCAGTTTCCCCATCTGTAAAATGGCGGAAGTGTTGCCCATTTTCAAGGGACTAAGGGGAGGAGCAAATGCCATCGCGTGTAGGGAACACTTGCTAGGATGAGGTCTCCGTGGCCGGCTCCGGCCTCCCTTAAGGAGGGACCCGGATGCTGGGCGTGCAGCAGGGGGGCGCACTGGGCATCGGCGAGGCACCTTTCGGTCTGTCTGGAACAGGAAGATGGGCAGGGCCTTTCTCACTTTCCCAGCCCTTTATTATGTCACGTAAGCAGCCGAGCCCTCTGCCCTGGTACCCACTGGCCCCGGAAAGCACCCACCAGTCCCTGTGACAGGGGTCTGGGCAGGGAGGGAGGAGGCAGCTCCGGCTCTGAGCGCCGCGTGTTCGAAGCCTTGGGGGCTCCGGAGCCCGGCGGGCGGGGCAGGCTGCAGCCGGGGAAGGGGGGGGGGGACGAACAGGACCGGCTTCCACGACCACTGGAATTCAGTGCGATATTTTGACCACCGTTAGTTTTTTAAAAATTCGTCGTTGTCGTTGGTGTTGGCGGGGTAGGCTCCCACGCTCGGTGAGGATTTGTGCGTCCTCCGTGCTTGCCCCGTTCTCTCCCTTCCCGGCTTCCTTCCTGGCGGCTTTACTCTTCCCGTTTATTCCTGAGTCAGAAGCCAGACGCTGTCCCCTGTGTGAACGTGGGGGCGGGCAGGCTCCTGGCCAGGAGCACTCGACAGCCACTGTCCTCGAACTGCCACAGGTGTCGCCCCTGCGCAGCCCGCCGAAGCCTGGCAGGTGCCCGAGCAGGCACAGGGGCGGCCCCGTCCCCACCAGGGTCGTAACTTGTCCTGGGCCACAGCAGAGCTGGCGCTGTGCCCCACGTGTCCTGCCTCCCAGAGCTGCCCCTCCACCCAGTGTGCCTCAGTTTCCCCTCCCGGCCGGGGGAGTGGCAGGCCCTGCATCGGGGGCTGGGTCAAGACGGGGACTGCCGGGTGTGCGGTTGCAGATTCCGAGGCAGGTGACAAAGGATGAGGATAAGCCCCCCGACAGAGTCCGACTTCCCAAGAGCCTTTTCGGAGCCCTGCCAGGCAACGGGTCCGTGGTCCGGCTGGCTGTCACTGTTCTGGACATCGGTCCGGGCAATATCTTCAAGGTGAGGAGAGGCCTGATGGGGACCCAGGGAAGCTCCAGGATGAGGGGCTAGGTGCTCCCGGGTCCCCTGCCCCAGCTTGAGCTCACTGGGGGGCCTGCTGGGGGGCCCGACGGGGGCGGAGGAGGTGTGAGCCTCTTCAGTGTTTCCAAAGCAGCCACAGTCACCGGGACCCTTCTCTCTGGGGCTGTGGGCTGCAGGCTCAGGCTGGTCACACACACACTCCCCTCACCAGTATTCTTTGGCCTGTACGGTACGTGTGTCCCAAGTGTGTGCATGTACCCTCATGTGTCCTTGTGCATGCACATACATGCACGTCCTTTTCCTGAACACACACAATCGCGTGTGCTCACGTGTGACCAAGTCCACATGGGCTCTTGCAAAGGTGTGTACCCGGTGTGTGCACCCAGAGCCGCAGCTCCACTCGTGTGCACACGCGTGCGCCTCTGCGTGCTGGCGCGTGCGCTGTAGGCACCCTCTGCCCTCCGTGCCTTGGGTGACCTCGGCCTGCGCCCCTCTAGGTAAGAGGGCAGGAGCTCCGGGCTGGCAGAGAGGGCTGGCAGGTGCACAGCTTTGTGGCCAGGTGGCCTGGAGCACAGGCCCGGCTGGGCGCAGCGGGGCGGGAGACCGCAGGGAGCAGCAGGGAGAAGGCTGCCTATGGCCCAGCGGGTCCCTGGTGCTCTGGGCTCAGGCCCCCGCCAGGGTTGGCTTGGGATAGCCTCTCTGCAGCCTGGCCTCCCCGTCTCCACTCTCAGGGTCCCCGGCTCAGCCAGGACGATGGCAGCCGCGTGTTGAACAATCACCTGGTGGGCCTGAGTGTGGGCCACACGCCCGTCACCAGGCTGGCCGAGCCTCTGGAGATCGCCTTCTCCCACCAGCGTCTGAGCCCCGTGAGTCCCTGGCGCCACCTCGGGGCGGGCGGGCGAGTGGGCACACCCAGGCGTACGAGCACGCAGGGACACTGCACGCCTGTCCCCTGCCCTTCTGCATGCAGCCGGGAGCAGGGCCATACACACAACTGTGCCCAGAGACACATGCCCACCCTGCGCACACGTGTGCACGTGCCCCAGACACCCCCCACGCACCCGTCACAGAGGTGCGCGGAACCGCACCCCTCCCTGCACGCACACCGCATCCCTCCCCCCATGCGTGCTCG